ATGACGTTGAGGATGTGAGAGCTTTGCCAAGATCACTCTGAACCCTCCATCTATTCGCAACATGCGGGTGTCTGCATCCTCACATTAATTGTACTCTCTCGCCTATCCTCTCGCCTTCGCGCTCGGTGTCTCACCTAAGCACACCCGAATGGCGGAACCGAAGCCCTTAATTTTAGCATTTTGACGAAACCTTTTATCCACTACCACTTCACATCCCTGTTTTCACTTTCGTGTGCTATAATCGCAACACTTCGATCGTGGGCGTGCCTTTACCATATTTGAACCAGAACCCAATGAGTGCGAGTGCATGTTTGCATCTATTGTACATATAAGAGAACGATATTAATCTCGAAAATGGTACCTTTGTGAGAGTGTTGGTCATATGACAGGAATCAGCCGATCGAAATGTACAGGTAGTTGATAGTACGAACACAGTGGTCGGTACTGCCAACGCCATTGGTAGGGCGAAACCCAGTCGTTGCATCATCACCTAAAAATCAAAGCCAAGAAATTAAGAGGTTCCTGGGAGGGTCTCTGTGCGGGGTGATAGCTGAGACTCACCTTGCAAGCAAATTTGCTGCTATGATAGCAGAGAAAAACGGCGGACACTTGGACAAGGGCGATCCAGAGGGCATCGTACGGCGAGGTGAATTGATTCAGTTCAACGTAAGTGTCGTAAATCTGGAGAATCTTTGTATTATGGGAGGATAGAAGTGGCATCTTGGCAAGTGCTACGGAAACTCGTCCGAAATCGCTGCTCGTGGTTACTTACGAAATCGCGCCCGTGAGTTAGAGATACATGGGCTCCTTTTCAGGAAGAAAATTAGAGAAAACCCCAAAAATGGACCAGGAGCGGCATCAGGTCTAGAAGTGCATCTTTAGGTTTCCCTTTTCCTAGCTCTAATCAAGAAATCAACCAATCAAACTCAGTCACATTCAAAAAATCTTTGCATGCACCCTCGAATGACACTGCTTTATCAGTTAAGCTAAAGAATAGAAAAAATGGTTCCAGCACCTCATTTCGAGAAGAACGACTTCACATTAAACGCTGATGGAAGTTCATCATCGTCATCCAGACTTGACTGTCGCTTGAGTCGAGCACCTCGATAGTCCCCAGTGTCCACTTCTTGAGGCCCCTGGAACAGTAGAGCTTAACACGTTGAGGATCGCCGTTGTGCGCGCACTGCTTCAGTTATGAAGCTTTTGGTGGGATGTGGTCTGTAATAGAGAAAGAAAGCCAACGAAACCTACCGATTACGCCCCCTATAGAAGACCTCCCCTATTTCAGCCACATTCCACCTTGGGATAGAGAAGAGGCGAATTGGACGAGTTTCACGAACCTAACTCTACTTGCTCCAGTGTCAATAACATTGGATCGCGCTGGGACCACTGCCTCAAATGCGCCCGCGCTTTTCAAGCAGCGCCACGTGGCAGCCGACAGCGAAGGGTGGGGCTTGCGGACGAAGGTGTGAGTTGCGGGTTGGACGAGCTCCTTGCGCCTTTGTCTGCGTACTTATCAAGCACAAAAGGGGCCGATATCAACACTTGTCCACCTGCCTACTACCCCCTGGATGGAACAGGCGAGCCCGCCTGATCGCGGAGGTTCCTTTAACAACGTGAGGAACCGGCCTTAGTGCGAGTTATCTGCTCAGTTTTTTCAGTATTCTCGTCATCAGATACGGCCATTAATTTCTTCAGCGTTTCATTATTACTAACGAAAAATGCCTTTTTTTAGAATCCAACATGTACTGGATGTTTGTGGACCGGGGAAAACCTCCAAATTAAAATTAAGTGAAACTTAGTCCTGACTCTTGTGAAGTGTGCCATCACTATCCACTGACGGCGTCAACGTGTTGAGAGAGTCCAGAGGAATGTTGCCATAAGGGTGGATGGTCTAAAGAAGGGCAGCTACCAAATGGAGAGACTGGACTCTAACTAGTGCGGACTGAACACGCCGGTACAGTTGCGCAAAGTATTGGCCCGCGCAAACAGCATGATACTCCCCGTGGTGCTTCGTGCGGTCACGCCTAACGACTGGCTAACCACCCCGCAGATCTTGTAGCTTGATAGGGCAGTGAAGTGATCTAGCGTCTGAGGAGGGCAGAAAGTCGCATCCGAAGCGGAATTCAACCGCACGGACGGGGTCCCTTTCTCGGTGTCTCGCATTGCAATATTTTTTTATTCGTCCTGCCGCCTGACGATCTCTAATTGGATCTCCTAATGGGCTGCCGATCTTCATGTGTTGTCAGGCATGATGTATTCTATAAAGCTTGGCAAGTCAAGTGACTCTCTTTTCTTGGTTTGGCTCGTCATATCCGAAAAATCACGGGCAAACAAAGGCCAAATTTCGCGTCCTCTCGGTGAGTTTCCCTGCTTTTTTGTCCCACAACACCCCAGAATTTTTAGCACCCCCTTCCACTCCACCCAGAATATTTCGTGATCCCTGCCTTCAAGATACTGCGGTCGTCGCTGGCCATTCGCTCTGTAAGATGCAGCACGCAGCTGATTTCTACTCAAAATCGTAACAAAGCAGAGGTTGTTAAGTGGATATTTGACCCATGCATTGTTTTGCGAGAGTCAGTGGACGTTCGAGTCAGTGTTTTGTCCTTTCACAATGTCGAATCAGCCTCCAGACAAGTGACCGTGACGTAATGGGAGACCTGCTCGGCTTCGGCGAGTTTGGATTACCGAAGTGTGGCGCGGCGCCAATGAGTCATTGTGTCAACTTCGTCCAAAGTTGAAATTGGCTGAACGCAGCCAACGGATTTTTTATTCCCGCGAAAATTTATAGATTTTGCTCGTGGAGACTGCTGGATAGCAGTGGTAACGCCGTACCCTACCAAAGAAGACCCCTCAGTCATATAAATGCGAGCCATAGGCGTAACAATCTGAGCAGAGAGGGGTTTTATTAGAAATCAGTTTCTTTTTAGGTAGATTATAATGTGATCAAAATCCTTTCAGAAGCTTTGATTGTGTCAGCAAGTGATTCGAGCTAACCGCTTTTACACTCATCCCGTCCTCTGATGAGCAGGACTAGTATCGTCGCATGTTGGTGTCCTACGGCAGCTCGCTTTCTCATACCTCTACCGCCAAAGCAACCGTGCGCAGTCTCAAGAGCGGGCGGGGGTCGTATGTCGAAGTTGTCTCCAGAGAAGAACCTAAGTTGTGAATCGAAGGCTCCAAAAAGATGTGTGAAAGAAGGTTCGCACTCTTTTGTAGCGGCTTGGACTGGAAGGTGGTATCCGGGGGGGGGGGGGGGAGAGGGGCCGTTTCTGGTTTTCTTTATAAATTTGGTGGAAACTCGAAGAAATAGTAATGACTTGATCAAAATTAAAGGACTTGTTGTTTCATCAGATACCAGATTAGTCCCCCGTCAACCGCCAATCTTGGATTGGAAACCAGTGGGCGGAGTTGAGCAGTGGTTCGACAGTCGTCGGAATCAATACTATCGAAACAGCGCATGGTGCTTGGGGGGGTCGCCCAAGGCTGCGGACTTGTGATATGAGGCTACATCGAGAACAGCTAATGAGTGGGGTTCGTGGAATTTTCCACCATTCGAACCAACGAAGCGATCTGACTCTGGGTACTGTTTATATTATAGCTATTTGAGCTCGGTCCTTTAAAAATTTTGATCTCACGCACTCAAATTTCTGCCACCGCGTAACTGGCCCGCAACCGCCCCACCTTAGTCACCTTCCGCTAACTGCCCCACAACTGCCCCGCCTCGCCCACCTCGCTCCCCCTCCAAAACTTAGACTCGGAGTTCTTTTTTTTGGGGTTTAGAGTCAAGCCATGCACCGTTCACTCAGCGTTTGTGCTCTGACCATTCACAGCAGAGAACATGAAGGAAAGTTCAAGTAGTCAAGTAACCTTATATACTATGTACACAGCGAACCCCACATATCGGCTATCGCGCATACTGCACATAGTAAACGAGCGCGTCGCCGCGTTGTGACTTTCCGTACCCCATTTGCGCAACCACGATTGACCGAATTTTGCGCTTGTCATTACAATGGCATCAAAAACAGAATGAAATCATCGCTGACTAAAGCCAGAGTTTTGCCCGAGTTAGGTAAAGAAAAATTGTTATTACTAAAAGACCAAGAACCAAATCTTGGAAAAAGTGAAGTTGAGTTCGTTTTCAAATTGCACGATTTACCTCAGAGATTATGACAGGTTTTCTTGTCGTTGGACCGGAAGGCAGATCATCGTAATCTGAAGTGAAATTTTTATCAGTTTTCGCAGACATGAAAACTAGGATAGACCTTGAAAAATGGATGAGTAATTTTCGAAACAACTAAGAAAGCAAAAAAATATTGAAATATTTCACAAGAATGCTGGGTTGTGAACAAAACTTTCGCCCCAGACGGGACTAGAACCCGCACCTCTCGCTTTCCGGGCAAGTGCGCTATATTAATTTTGAATTATTGAAATACTATATATATATACGCAATATTGAAATACTTGTATAAAAACATTACTGCAAGATCATACCAGCTCCTCCGTATTTGCTCATTCTGGCGAGGAATTTATCGATTTGTGTTTGGTTAAGATTGTGTCCGGTGATGGTGATCAATTTCTCGCCGAATGGATCTCGTTGTAGCAGGTCGTTTAGCTGCATACTGAAAGCACAGTACTCAATTGAATTTTGCAGATCAAAAATGGTAGGAATCAAATTGAGACTCTCTGAATTGAAGTTCATATCTGGAATTCAGATTAGGCCTGTCTGTGTATTTGACATGGTCCTCGCCGCTCTTGAAGAAGCCGCGCAAATAAAATGCGGGCGTGCCAGCCACAGCAGAGTCAACCCTGCGTTGCGCAGTTCGCAACGGCACGTTGAGAGATCCTCAACGCACGCTGTATGGGCGGAGACGCAGACGGCTCGAGCATGCGAGTGTGAATGTTCGCGCGAGAGAACGTGTCTAATCGGGCGAAACTGCGCAACGCAGGGTTGACCGCGCCGCCGACTCAAACCACAAGATATCACTAACTTAACCCGTGGAGTATTGCAAGTAAATCATAAAAACAGGTATAGCTTTCAGCGAGAGGGCTTCCAGCCTCCCAGACGAAGACGATACCAATTGGCGACTTCGAAGTGAAGGATTGTGGTGGAAGACGTTCATTTTTTTGGTCTAGTCACTGGAGCTGCGCGATCACTGAACCTTAAGGTTGGGCTCGAACTCAGGTTTATGCTTACCCACCGGCTTGTGCTTAGAGCTAGTAGGGTTTGGCTTAGGCTTAGGCTTAAGCTTGCCACGAGCAAATCAAATGTGCGCTGATGTGAGGTGAAGTAATTCGACGAGGAGAGTGATATAAATCGCCAGTAGGCGCTTTCGTCCTAAGTTGGAGAATTAGGTATTAAAAATCGGAAACCACGTAACGCTTTTGCTCAAATTAGATAAGAAATGCGATGAAGAACGATAGTGCGGAAAAAGCAAAAATAGCCATATAGAACGCTAAGAGTTCCTTTGTGAGGTTGGCCGTATTATGACGGAGAGACACAGCGCTGCGAGGAGAGGGTAAACGCGAAAGGGTGCAAACACAACGTATGCCGCGATTAATAAAGATGGAAGCACTGGCAACGGGCAAGGCAGGCCTTAGCGCCGTTATCGTGCACACACTTGAGTTGGGACACTGTCGCGACTCCTGCGCTTGGGGACCCCTAATCCTCGCTCAAGGAGACTTGTGCTCTTGGCACCTAATCCCGAACCGTGGCTTCAAAGAAACGCGGCAAACTCTTCTTCTTCTCCCTAGCGTTAGTCCCGCGCAGTCGCAGGGTCCGCTGAAAGAAACGCGGCAAACTGTTTTTTTTTATTCAGTTGCACGGAGATAGAGGAATTTTGCCTGCATTCGTATCTGATCCACCTTACTACTCACCGTGACGACATGAAGGTGATCATACAAAGTAGATAAATGCAGATCTTCCAGAGCGAAACCACTGCATAGGTTTTTGAATCGCCTTTCCGACAGTCGAGAAGCGAATCTAAAAGCGAAGGTAGATCGACAAGGCTACTAGACATTTTCCGAGATGTGAGATATTACCTGGCCAGGGCTCGAACAGGTGGGAAAACGGAGTCGTCATGAACGAAATTCTGCCACCAAGCCAATGAGATGAATGCCAAACACCATGGGATGGCCACGGAGTGCTTTTCAAGACTGGGTATGAACTCAGACCCTGGGTATGAACATCTGTAAAGATCATGAAATCAGAAAGTATGTGGAAAGAGCCTCAAAAGCCTTCGCAAGCAGATTTACCGGAAACGCCCAGAAACCGGAGCTTTGAGCTGCAATCGCGACGATGTCGATAATGACGAGAATGAGGGCGATTTTTACTTGGTCGGCGGCTCAGTAGCGAAAGGATTACGCTTGGTATGGAAGCACAATCCCGCTGGTGACTGTGTCGCTAACAACACTTGCACTTATAGTGACGTTAAAGGTGCGTCAACACCGGGCAAAAAACGCTCACCTGTGACGGCATCTAGATCGGGGAATATCCGAAACACAAGAATCCCTACACCGATCGCATGAAGTGTCTCAATAAAAAACACCTGAAAGTAACATTTCGGGAGCAAACTAGGAAACAAATTCACTACCAATCGTGCACTACTCGTATGCCATGTGGGCGAGCGGTCGCGTCGCGGCCACCGTCCTTCATTTCTCGGAGGCAAGACCGAGAAGAGTGACTTCACTCACAATGATTCACAAACCACTTCTTTACGGGGAGCTAATTCAGGTGTGAGACAGACTACATAACGGGACGGCTTTCTAGGAGCTAGAGCATAAAACAAGGGTTTTAAATGGCTTCTTCTGAAGTTCAGGCGCGGACATGCCAGCATCAAAGCCTCGCTACATAACGCAACGCCAACCGTTCGCATGATGGTCGAGTTCCACGCCGACTAATGATGAAACGAGTGATGGCCTTACCACGGCGAATTGCACGCATGGGGCGTTTCACAATTATTTGAAAGAAGAGTTCGATGTAGCGAACGAATGAAACAGAATGCTTCCGGCGCGGAAAGAGCGATGAACGTCGCCCAAACCCATTTGACCACCAGCCGGTTTGCTATGTGCCCGGCGTTCAGTTGTGATTCTGAAATCGAAAAACATAACCGTGGATAGCCCCACACCACTACACAGTTTTTTTTTTTTTTCTCAGCCTGGTATTTTTATCCGCGGCAGCATGGTCATAATTCCATTGCCATCATATTCATGCCACCCCAGCCGATCGCAGAGGTCATAATGAGAAGAAATGAACTCTAAAATTTCACCTCATAGAGATTTGAATGACTCACGAAGTTAGAGGCTGTGACCTACCTTGGCGACAACAGCTGAGCCAAGAGTTAATATAAATAATACTACAAATGTACATAATTTGAGGACTTGTAGACTGGCTTCGTGCCAAAAGCCTGAAAAAGGATCGCATTTATAGTCATGAAATAAACAAGAGAAGAATCAGAAAGGGACATTTCAGAAGCCTCAACTGTGAATGAATATTTGAAGCAGAGCTTGGACTTAGGAGTTAGGATTAAGAAAGCACAGGGGCATTTTCAGATTATGAACAATCACAGGTATCCCAAATAATTCGGAAAACGGAAGTCGGGACTGTATTTGCCGTAACCCGACCGTAATTCAAGGTCTAAAAATCAGTACTAACCAGTTTTTTTAACCCCTTCCTTATCTTCCAGCAAAAGTAGATTTTGTGGTAACTATTTTTAGCATCAACTAATCGATACTAAAGTGCCAAGGAAACTCCGAAGTCCTTCAGGAAAACATTTGAAGTGCTCAAGGATTTTCCACTCGGCGATCCATCAAAGAACAGCGCGCTCGAACCGGAAAATTTCTCCGACGGTCCGGAAACCACCGGTAAGTCGTTCGCCGTCTCGAAAAGAAAATATCTTTTTCGAGTGCTCGCCAATCGATCGCCAAATGTCAACAGTATGTAGCGATTGACCGCTGGGTGTTGAATTTCCCATCAAATTTCGGTTGAGATCTGGGTAGTGGTCATACCTAGGTGAATTCCAAACTGTAGACTTACCGTAGCCAATCTTGTCGGGTTTTGGTGGCAGCAGTCGAAAAATATCCCATGCTTTCTGGTCGGCGACCGTCCTAAACAATGAATGTGCAGCCTGGTGAACAATACGATACAACGAGGCTTATTCAAGTTCTCTATGGTGTTAGCAGGCGTTGAAATCGTCAGCCGATTCGCTGCTCGGCCACATATAATCTCCACCGACAACACTGCTCTGTTCGCCTGAACGCAACACAAGAGGCGTGAATGTCGTTCGACTATGTGCTTAACCAGCTCAGCTGACCCTCACTGAACGAACGACAATTCTCACGAGACTGCGCCTGGTCGTGGCAGAGATTTTTACCTGATTGAAAGCCCAGCATACAACTGTCTCTACGGAAAGTTATCCATCAAAATGAATATGAAATAACTCAGAAGTAACAACTGTGAAATTTGAAAATTGCGGAAATTGAAAATTGTAAATTTTTAAAAGTTTCGCCATAGAGATGGAAGTAGAATCACTTTCTCACCTCCAAAAATTAATGCCATCGACTTTTGGAATAATTGAACTTTTAATAAATAATTCTGTCTTCAACAGTAGGTAAATCTAAGTCAAGAAAGTCGGAATCTCCTACTCTCACCAACAATACTTCACAACGCCCTAACACAGAGAAGTAATAACAGAAACTGGAAAGTGTTTAAGCTTTCTCCCCCTCTAGAAAGAGGGTAAATAGACTGAGCAGCTTTATTACCGATCACAAAATCTTCCTTTAGTAAACAGTTCTGGTCAAAAGGGTTGCAAAGCAGTCTGAAGTCTCCTAAAATAGCCTTGGATTCAAAAACATCTAGCATAAACGCGTTGACGATTTTCTCGAAGGCTTACTCTCTCCTAGTCCAGAGTCCTATCTAGCAATAAGACCCCTACATGTTTCCGATTTGACTGGAAGTGCGCGGAGCAACGATTCTTTTGCGTTCTTGCGGAACCTTTACGGCGACTCTAAGCATAAACAAGCGACTCATATCTACGACTATTTCTGGAAGCTTATTCCTACTTCTTATCGGAAGACTTAAACAACTTCCTATCCTGTTCGCACCACACTATGGGGGGGCGAACGATTAAAATCTGCCGGAAGAGCTATCGAATGATTGCTTTCTAATGTACGATCATAGAATATGCATTTTATCGCAAGACAAAAATGTGAAAATGTAAGTTGTGTGGAGTTCTGTTTAGGAAATGATCATTTTTGCACATCGAAAATTAAGAATATAGAGTACCAACAGCGCTTTCGCTTCCTTAGTTGACAAATAAATACGAGTATTGAATATGGTCCACAGTGCCAAACAAGACAAATCCGTCCACAACCGATTCAACAGGATCAGACCTGGCTCATACTATAACTTAACTGGGATAAGAATGATAAAACAATGGCCAACGTTCCTCTATTTCCCTCCCCAAACTAGAGAGCGTTTCGAAGCGAAAATGAATCACTACAATAATTCCGTGATGAGATGCTTATGGCTAAACTAGCTGTGTATTCACAAGGTCAAAGAAGGGAGATTCTTTATAAAAAATGAGAGTTAGGAGCGAAAAATTATAGTTCGACTTCGTAGAATTACCTAACGATTTCCGGAGCTTTACCAACAATGAGAAGTGCACAAAATGTGAAGGAGAGCATTTCTTGAAAAAAATAGAGAGCAAAAAAAACTGCATAGGCAACAGTTGGAGTAGACAGGCAATCTCGACAAAGATACTGAATTTCGAATAAAGAACAAGGAAACATACGAGGTCTGGTTCCGCGATTGCTTCTGCGGCCGAACGGTCTCCTCAGAGACTCGCTCACTTCTAATCTCCGCTGTTGATGGCTGTTCTTCATCAGATGATGGTGGTGATATTGGTCGAACATCGGCTGTGGTGAAATAGTAGCTGGCACCTTGTGATGAAGGTTCCCTATCGAATTCCATACGAAACAATCTGTGGCCGTTATTCAAGTGTTATTGTGGCATTTCCAAGCAAATAAAAATGCCTGTAGATGATGACGTCAATCGGAGCAAAATCGAAGAGGACCAGACAGTTAGTTGTGAGCAGATTGCTTTCTTCGCTGGACTGTTGCTGAACGTTGGGATTATCGGCCGGACGGGAGCAGTTCAAGTGGCCGAAAGGGGCGGAGTGGACAGTGTCCAGCGCAACAAGCGCTTCCCTGCACTGTGTTTCTGCTGGCCAGCTGTACAGGAAATTTCAATCCAGAACTCTCAGGAAGTTGACTGGTTCCCAGAAGTAGGCGAACAATCGACTGGGCATTAAAAAGAGTTCCGTCGATTGTTTTCATGCGAATTTTTCTCTCAGGAATTTCTCGAAATACATCTTCCACTGAAGCCGCAGTACCAATCCGTAAGCTGACCTGACCTCATTATTCTTGAAACCCCACTTTCGATGCTCTTCACGGCCACCACTAGTCCCTTCTGGGAATCTTGTAATCGTTTCGCAGCCAATGTTTGACTTCGAGTAAATGCGTTTGTTCTGACGGTTTTGTTCCACGTTGACCACGCTAAAAGCGCAAACATGGCTATCACAATAGAATGGGTCGAGTACGGGAGAAGAGAAGACAATGAAGAAGCCTGAGCCTAAGTGCCATTTTCGGCATTTTAAATTTGTTAAAGTGCAGTTCCCAGTCCTCCAGAAAATGAGAATAATCTCCTGATTTTTCCCCACTTTGAGGAGAGAAGATCATGCAAAGAAATGTGAAATGCCTTGCAGTGAACCACTTTTTTTGTAAATCATATTCTTGACCTTTAAAATGTCAAAAGTTCAGTCATCACATGAATATTTGGTATTCTTAATGGATGGGTGGAGGTGTTGTATTGTCAGGTGACATCACTTACTATGTGCAAAGTTATCTAATCGCTATGAGGTCGGGTAAAAGCAAGCCCCGGGATAATACTGATGACAAGAGCGCTTCGTAGTGATGACTGGAGCAAAACAACCTGAAAGCAGGGTCAACCGACCGTTGGACAAAGTCCAACAAAGGGGTCGTATTTGGCCGACAGAAGAGGGGAGGTGTCGTATACGCAGAGGTCAATATGTCGCGATACGTATGTACGTGAGAGGC